GCTGTGGTTAAAGAATCCACTGGGATTAAGAGGAGACCAGCATCACTGAGGTGAAATCTTCTTAGGAAGTGCTTCCTCGGGGTCAGCACATGGAAGCTATGTTCCAGAGGTGGCCAGGGTTGGACACAGTGCTGGTAGCTAAACTCTGTCATGTGTACAAGTAAGTCTCCCCAGGTTGTACTGGTTTTAAAGGCGTGAAGGGATCATGGAAATCAGCTGAGGCTTAGCACTGTGAGAGATCAGAAGAGGCCATTAGTCAAAGTGCAGCCTCAGTGGCAGCTGAAGCCCCAGGATTGATGGGGTCATGGAGAGTAGTTGAGGCTTGGTACCAGGTGAAAAGTTGAGTCCTTGAAGAGAGCCCAGGAGAGGCGATTAGAAAAGCTACAGCCTCCCCTCCCCCCAGCACTTGGAAGATACTATGGGACAATGGCCTAGGACAGCAGCAGCCATGGAGGGGCACCAGTCTGAACCTATAAGACAAGCCTTTAAAGGAGCCCAGAAGATTGTGAGTGAATCCCAGATGCTGGATGCAGAGTTATTTATCCTGTAGGGGTTTGGTTTTGCTATGATTTGATTGTGACTGCACCCTGCTTCTTTTATCTTGGAAGAAGAAAAGTCAAGCCAGGAAACAAGCATCCCTTCACGGCCTCTGCATCAGCCCCTGTCTCCAGGTCCTTGCGTTTGTGTGCACCTGCGCTGACTGTTGTCAATGATGAACCAGCGATGTTGAAACCTAAGGGGGAAAAAAAAACCTTCCCCCTCCGGTTGCTTTAAGTTACAATGTTTCATCAGAGCAACAGTAACCCCAACCAAGACAAATGGTGTTCTTAGCCAAGGAGGAAAGTTTAGACACAGATGTACAAAACAAGAAAGCCCCGTGAAGATACAGCAGACATCAGCTGCTGCTCAGATGACCCCTCAGCAAATGAGAAGACCCACATGGATCAGACCCTACCCAGGGGTCCTCGAGTGGACTCTGTCTGCAGCCCCAACTCTAGAGCGCTAGACTCTAGAGCTGAGAGAAAACACACTCTTCATGAGGTTGGAGCTTCCTAGGTGTGTCCCAATAGCAGACGACACACAAAAAGTGTGCCATGTGATCACTCTGCACATGAACCACACGCCTTCCTAACCATTTGCTTTGGTGGGTAGCACTGGTAGAACCTGGTTTTCCTTTTTTTGAGACCACCCCTAGCTGTCTCCTCACTCCATGCCCTAATATATCTGTGGTTATGTGTTTAACTTCCCGCCTAGGCCTGACCTTACGACCACAGCATGAGATACCTTGATAGACCCATTCTCTCTCTCAGAGCTCATGCATGTAGTGGCAGCCAGATTCAAACAGGGACACAACTGTCCCATGTTTTCAGGAGCTACCCAGCTGCACAGCAAGAACTTGGGTCTCTTGTTGGGATTAGTCTCGTGGGCCATGTATTCTGATGCCAAGTTCCGAGTTCTGGACTGTAACCAAGGATCAGGTTGCAGTCTGGACATGGGTATTGTACTGACCAACATGATGTAAAGAACGCTCCCCAGTAATCTCTGATAGGGGGATAAAAGTCTAGAGCCTGTGACTGGGCAGGAGAGGGGAGCACTTGAAATCAAGTTGTGGGGAGTCCCAGGCTGAGACCATAACGAGAAAACGGGGGGGGGGAGGGGGGAGAAGAAGGTCGCCATGAAGCTGGAGGGACCATGAGCTCTTGGCAAAGAGAAGCTCACCCTGAGGTCACACATGAAACAAAGCGTGCCAGGTAAAATTCAGACTTCAAGTAACCTGGGGGGCTATTCCTGGGATGTAGGTCAGAGTAGTCTCAGAACTTCCCTAGTTTAGGTTTGTTGCTTGTTAATAAATTCTGATATTTATTTATGTGGGAGCTAAATAGGAAAGAGTGGGGGGCAGAAACGTCCCATAAAATCATTTCAATAGTGTGTCTGTGGTGCTTGGCCTAGGGAGTGCCACTATTAGGAGGCGTGGCCTTGTTGGATAAAGTGTGTCACTGTGGAGGTGGGCTTTGAGACCTTCCTCCAAGCTGTCAGGGAAATGGTCCTCTCCTGGCTGCAGCTGGATGAAGATGTGGAACTCTCAGCTCCTTCTCCAGCACTATGTCTGCCTGGAGGCTGTCATGTTTCTCTTTGTCATGGTGTCTCTTTCTCAGCAACAGAAATTGTAAGATGGGACAAAGCCACCAGAAACCTGGAACAGCATCCCTTGAAAAACCAAGTCTGCACCGACCCACAAAACTCAACGAATCCATTCTTTAAGCTACTGTATTCTTGGGTTTCCCTGCGACAGAAAATTAAGTCTTTTACCCCAGCAGAGCACTGGGGATAAAAAGCATTTCAAAAAACATGCCTGGTATGGGAAAATAATGGGCACAGAGCTAGGAGATGGCTTTTTTGGTAATGCCAAATTCCACAACCCATAGTTAAAGAAGAAAGAAAAAAAAAAAACCACAGGCATAGTACTGTACACTTGTACTCCCCGTTCCAGGAAGGCAGAGACAAGCAAGACCAGGAGGTTCACTGGCTAAGCAGTGACTTCCAGGTCAACTAAGAGAATCTGTCCCAAACAGGCAGGTAGATAACAGACCACTGAGGAAGACACTCTCTGCATGCTGATCTCTGGCCTCCACACAAATTAGCATACACATCAATGCATGTGTGCATACACACACACACACACACACACACACAGAGGACGGGGGAGGGGAGAGAGAACCAAGTACATCTTTGGTAGAAACAGTAACTGAAATTCTGTGGGAGAAGTTCAAGGAACAGAGAGACAGTAGCCATGATAGCTTCAAAGATACAGTACTTGACAATTTTACTCTTGCTAAATTCTAGTTTCAACTCTGTGGGCTTCCATGATTCCCTATTCCAAATGATATATTCTATTTTTCTAATTCGAAAAAGATGACAGAGAGCAATTTAGCACACTGCAGCGAGTACTCTCGTGTTTAAATACGACTTGTACGTAGATTTCCACGACACATAATGCAAAGTGGAACAAACATGTTTCATCCCCTGCTTAAGAATGGTCACAGTAAAGGAGAAAAAATCAACCCTGCCTGACCTGGAAAATGTCTGAAAATCTCCAGGTAAATCGAACTTGAATCTCAGAAACAGAGGGGTTTAAATGTTTGTTTGGCACACACACACACACACACACACACACACACACACAGAGTGAAAGATGACCCAGCAGTTAGAAGAGAGAGAATGTGTGTCCCTTTACAGACACACAGTGAACACCAGGGGTACTCGCTCATACCTGTAATCCCAGCACCAACGCGGAGACCGGAGAACCTCCTTGAGTTCAAGTCTAGCCTGAGCTAACAGAACAAGATCCTGTCTCAAACAAACAGATGCTCAGGAGCACCAACGTGCCACTATGGGAGACTGGAGGGTGTGAAGTTGGGTGACAGCTCTTCTGTGCCTCATTCCTCTGCAAAAGAATCCTGGTTCTGTTTCTGTCTAGTCCAAACACTGGCATGTTCTCTCCTGTAACCTCAGACGTTTGTCTTTTATTACGTTCATTTTTCCACCATGAGCTTTTGAAGGCTTTTCGGGCACCAGTCCCTCCAACAACAAAGCTGCAGACCTTTTTATCTAAAGACAAAAGTGGCTTCTGCACTTCCAAGGAAGAGCCGAGCAGCACATGTGTGCCGGGATTTAAACACATGGTTCCATTTACACTGCTGTGTGTAGAGATACATAGACAGACAGATAGACACACAGACACAAACAAATAGATGGATAGACAAATATATGAATGATATATGCATATATATGTGTGTACATATGTACATATATACATATATGTATATAGGTTACATATATGATACACACATACATATATATGATACATATATTTTATATGTGTTGCATATATATGATATATGATACATATACACAGTTATGATACATATACACATATATGATACATATATACATATGTGATACATATATACATATATGATATATGGTGCATATATACACATATGATGTGATACATATATACATACACATGTTTATATATGCATATAAACATATATGTAAACATATATGTATATATGTAAACATATATGTGTGTATATGTATACACACACACACATATACACACATACATACATACATATATATACATATACACCAGGTAACATGTAGGCAGCAAGCACACTTGCCTGGCTGGTTTCCATCTCTCCAGCATGCAGCCTATGACAGGTAAATACTTTCAAAATGGAGAAACAGTTTGAGCCCTGGATGTGAGGAAGCTTGCTTTTAAAACTCTTGGACAGAGACACGGATGGATGATGAATTTGACACCCCTCCCACACACCACGAAATGTAGATTGTATGGAAAACAAGAGAAAGACGACTTCTCAATGGGTCCTCCCCATTATTATTTAACCTCATCCACATATCATGGCTGTCTCTCCCGATATGCTCTCCAAATCCAGACACAGGGATTTGAGCATACTGACATAAGAAAAGGAATAAAAACCGTGGACTCCAGCTCAACTTTTCAAAAGGAAAGGCCACCTCCCAAATCAAAGACTTTCGGAGGAAGAGAACTCAAATTCCTCAGCCAGCATTCTAATTTCTCAACATCCTCCTCACAACTGGACTCGAGCAGAGTTCTTCGTGCTATGTGTACAGCGGGCTCAACTGGCTTCACTGAAGGTCAGAACATTCAGGGGACAGTGGAGACAGAGTGGACATAGTGCTGGCTTCGCGCAAGCTGGTCTGAAGAGACATCTGGTACTTGTTACAGACCCCAACCCATGTTCTGCTCACCAGAAAGAAGGACAGTGTAAGAGATGCCCACCCACCTCCAGGCCAGACATGGCTTGAGCGGGAACATGCCAAGAGCAGATAAACAGAACGGGTTTGTGTTGATCTGGGTGTGAGAAATCGGCCCAACATCACTGGCACAGCAGCAGACACAAGGCGATTTCCCATACATCCCCCAAGCCAGAGAAGAGCAAAATGCCACTCACCTTTTGAAAAAAGTCTTCCCCACTCTTGCCTTTTCCTTCAGCTGCAGCTGTAAATAAAAAATGTACACATTTTAAAAGACCTTCTTCATTTCAATGTATCCATTTAAAACCCTCAAGGACCAGGGTTGTGATCCCCAAGATAAAAGACAATTCCATCCTGGCCTCATTGGGGACGCCAAATTATTGAAGCATGAGATACAAAATCTCACCGATTACACATCCTTGATTAAGTGGAAGACCCACAAGTCTCTGTCTCCACACTGAGGTGGAAGCCACCCTACCCTTCCACACTAGCAAAACTGTAAAAATGAACCATAATTAAAGCCACAGTCTGTGTTCCCCACACTCCCCACCTGTAATAGGTCCCAGGCATATCCTTATATAGCCCACCTCTGAGATGGTTAAGTTTTGTGCCCATGTGAACTCAAGTTTCCATGGAGGTAAAATGTATGCCTATATTGGATATCTGACTAAAACTAATTCAATATAGAGACTTAGAAAGCTTAGGTTATCTTTAGGTCTTCTTAATTCACTTATCACATCTGTGTCTGTAGCAACATCCTGGTGATTATCGGAGTGACACCTTTTGTGATTTTATTAACTTAGCAAACCACTAGCTTCTATCAAGTCCAACCAAAGAAGGCCCTCAGCACCTGAGACGACAGCTGGTTCCCCACTTCGATGCAACCCATGTGCCGATATTTCCACCAATCCACTTGCAAAAGTGCCTTAGAAACAGGTCTTTTGTCCTGTTACTAAGAGCTCTTCATGAAACCATTTCCTTGTAGAAACATGTTCCTGGGGGCAACTGGAATCCATGTCCCCCAGGCCAAGTCATTCATGTTTGGCTTAAGAATAGACTTATACTCTTTGAGGTGAGGGCTGTGTTTTGTGTCAATAGTTTAAATGACTAAATGCCATATTGGGACCACAGTTCATCTCTTCAGTCTCCTCCTCCATTTGCTCCCACAGAGGGAAACAGAATAAGCCATGGCGGTCAAGGTCAAGACCAACAGCAAACTTCATGTGGGATGAAGGGATTGTTACAGCCAGAATACAGTCCTCTCTATGAACTTCCTGTAAGATAGATGGAGTCATTACAGCTAGACAACCACCCCCCCCTGCCGCCTATCTATAAGCACCCTACAAACAGGAAAGCCCAAGTCCCCGACCTGTGACCTGAAACACCCTGTGACCTGTGGGCATTTTCATTGGCTTGCGGTGATGAGTAGAGAATTTGAGAAGATGGAAGAGACTTAGCCATCAGCACGTGGTTATCACAGCACCAAGCTGAATCTTTCTAACAGAGACGCAAAGATGTAGTAGCGGTGACTGGACAGGCAAAGACTCAGAAGCAGGGGCACTAGCTCCTGGGATGTTAAAGTCCAGAAGATATGGTGATTTGTGCTCTGTATAGCATGTGTGTTTGTGTTTGTGCACATGTGGGCATGTGCATATGAATACATGTATGTATGTACATGTCCACATGACCACATGTATACAAGAGTAATGTGTACACAGACATGAATATGTGTATGTGTGCATGTATTTGCATATGTGGGTATGTGTTTATACATATATATATATGTGTGTATGTGTGCATGTATTTGCATATGTGGGTATGTGCTTATACGTATATATATACATATATATGTATATACATATATGTGTGTGTGTATGTGTATGTTTATGTGCCTCTGTGGATGCACATGTGTGTTCACATGCACATGTCCCCTTAAGAATGACACTTGTCATTAAGTTAGGACAGGCACCTATCATGAATCTCACAAATGGAAGAAAACAACTGATAAAGCTTAAATTCTTCTTTCATCAACTGAAATTTCACAACTACTTACATTTTTAATATAAGTATGATATAACAGAATATGATTAGCATAACGAGTGCTTTTTTTTTAACCAACATTTCTCTTATCAAAACAACAGAACAGAAAACATGTTTCTGGGATTTCCGAAGACAATTAGATAAAACCAATGAAAATAGGAGCTAGAAAGAAAGACAATAATTCTATCTAATGTGTGACGGGGCTGAAATAATAAAGATACTCATGTCCTCTGGGACCTGGGATTACGTGATAGAGGGAGGAAGATTGCCCTGGGTTATCTAAACAGGTCAATATCACCTCATCCTTATAATAATGAAGCACGAGGATCAGAATACAACATGACATCACAACGGTAAAGGCAACGGGGGGAAACAATACAGAGATCAATAAGGAGAAAGGTTTGAAAGAGGAGGTGGGGGCCACAAGAGAAAGAATACATATGGCTTCCAGAACTGGAAGCCAAAGAAACGCAGGATTCCTACAGCCTCTGAGGTGACATGGCCCTGCTAAAACCTTGACTTCAGCCCAGAGAGATTTACCGCAGACATCTAGCCTCAGAGCTGTAAGATGATGAATGTCACCTGTGCCGGGCCAATAGCATGGTGGCAGTTTGACACATCAGCAATAGAGACACTAATCCCTGAAGCCAATACCTGTACACCCCCTTTCTGCATCAATCCTGTACAGTCAATGCACACTCAGCAGATGCTGCCACAGAGAATGCCTCTGTGGTTTACTCTGTGAGAGAAGGTTTAACATCTCAAATATTTTCCAAAGTCCATACTGTAAAAAAAAAAAAAAAAGTGTGTGTGTGTGTGTGTGTGTGTGTGTGTGTGTGTGTGTGTGTGTCTTTGACTGGATGTTCTCCCTCAGAGCACTTAACTGCAAATGTCAAGTCCCTGAGGCAAAGGCTGTCTACTTCTACGACAGATATTCTCCCTTCAGAGTACTGCTCTACTCAGGACCAGTTCACCATGTCAAAACCTCAAAATACCTTCAAAGAACAGCAGCAAGGGAATTTCTCTAATTGGAACCAATATATAATGGCTTATGTTCTAGAACTGAGTAGGACACTGAAGTTCAATCAGAAACACACATTTGTTAGCATGCTGTTAGAGTTTGAAAAGAAACAGCAGACCAGGAAGCCAACAACTGGATGTTCATTGGTGTCAAAGATCACTGCCCATTTTGACTCTGAAAAGTTTCTGTTGAACACCTCCATCCAAGTCTATATAAAGAGGTACAGTCTAAGGCCACAGAAGAGTGAACCTCAGTTAAGAAACCCTAGCTATGCCAACTTGTCCCTTCAAATACCATTGGCATAAAGTTTAACTTGTAAATTAAACACAGTAAGCGATTAAACAATTAACAGGTAATCATAGAATGAACAATTAAAAATATGCTGTAATTAAATTTACTGCGGCAAATAGGATCCAGCAACACCTTATTGTGATACTCAAGCCTCTTGTGAGAACTGCCGCCATGCCTGTGTGAAGTGATAAAGTCAGGCAGATGCCATGGGTCTTGACAAATAGCTTTAGGCTACTGTTTAAGGGTCCTTGAACATGAGCTCCTTGGAACTGTGAGTCTACAGGATAACTGAGAGATGGCAGTCACAAACAAGTAGGTAGGGTATACAGTGTGGATATACAAGACAAAGGGATTATTTGTATCCCAAGAAGGATCATGCCACTCGGACTGACACTCTTAAAAGTTAATCTCTTTCTAAAATAGTCCATGTAGTATCTTCAGATCATAGCTAATCAGTAACAATTGAAACTAGAACAAGGGAAGCCAGCTGTGCAAGAAACTACAGATGAGCTGGCTTTTCTTAAATTCCGATGTGTGTGTTTCCTAAGCTCCTATAGTCAAAGAAAAACACCCTGGTTGGATTCTTGGTTGGATCACTGTCTCGGACGCCACTTCAGGCTCATCTATGATTGACATGTTTTTAAGAAATATCTGTACTTCAGCCTGAGGTTGCTGGACCTCCTTGAAGATTTCTACCGACTCTGTGAAACACATCTGTCAAGGCTGTAGAAGGCAAGAGAGAACGTGCCCTGCCTTCTCTTCTCTCAAACATGGATCCTTCAGAGTTCTCACGGGAGAGTCCTCTCAAACGCACCCTACGTTCTCAGTATGAAAACCTCAAATTCCTCCCAAGAAGTTATAGTTTGAGGACAGAGGGGCGAGATCAACATGGCATATTTTTTCTCAATGTAAACTCAAGACATTTGACGTGCCGAGTCCATAGACCCGTGATAAAACAGAGATGGTTACTCTCAGTCCACAAATATCTGGGTTCTATGCCAAGGAAAAGAAACAGCCAAGTCCCAACCCTGACCATGCTAAGAGCCAAAGCCACCCAACCAGTGAGAAAAAAACCAGAATGACAATTTAGCTTGACCACCAACCTTCCCAGAGACCTTTGCATACCTCCAGCGCTGTCCAGATTAAACTTTACATGAATTTGATTATTTCTCTTCTTGTAATAGAAGCTACATCCTGTTCTTTCTCCCACAGGGAAGCAGGACAGCTAAGCTACTGCTACCCCTGATGAGGAAAGAGGACTTCGAGAGGACCACCAGAGAGAGCTGGATTCCAAGGGAAAAAAAAGAAACATAATACTATCTTAACCCAAAGCATTTCAATATGTTTGGACAGGAAAATGTTGTCTATGAAATAAACTGACCTATGTTCTATGTTGTGGGGATTGCTTGACCACTAAAGTCCTCTTATATTCTGTGGGGAAACTATTCTCCCTTAAGCTTAAGACTGCAATCTTACACGCTAAGACATCTTTGTCCCTTTCTCCCACAATAACTTGGAAAGTGCATCACAGTTTAATGTTATTTTTATTTTTTTTTCACCAACCTATACAACATGACTCTGGCATGATGTTCCAAGGCTTACTTTGCTCTTGGATTTTTCAAACCTTGGCTTTTTCCTGCCAATGAAAGCAGCTCTCTCCCTCCTTCCCAACACACAACTCCAGGATTCAATTCCTTCGATACTACTGAAATATGGCTGGCTAAACGTGCAGGCGATGAGTTTCGTGTTTTGAGCTGAACTATTCATTTTTATGTTTATTATAGTTTCTCCAGGGCTCTGCCATGTTTTAGTTCATATTTTTGCCTCACGAGAAATATGGGATGGCATAGTTCCTGCCAATAAAAACGGGAGAGGTTGAAACAGGTGTAAAC